TGTACTTTTACTCAAGTATCACTTTGTGGTACTTTATACAACACTGGTTATCAGATATTTAATTCCACTTCATAATTACACTCTAGATCAACTTTACCACAAGCTTTCTTTACAGTATTATTTAAGCTTCTGCTGGTGAGGACCTATCAAATAAAGAGATATTCTAAACCCAAATCTTAAATAAAAGTTCACACACCTCTAAAGAAACAAGTTTGTAGTTAGTTTAAAAATATTGAACCATAGGTTTATTTTGTTTGGTGCAGCAGACGTCCGTCACACAATAAATAAGTGGCGGTCCACTTCAGCTGAGCTGAGATCTGCTCCACATCTCTCTTGTTTCCACACTGCTGGGTTCAGCTCTGAGCGTGTACTGGTGAGCAGGAACTGGTTTTATGAATGACCTGAGGGAGCCTAAAGCTGGACCGGTCTGTGTGGTGATTCCAGGAGCTGTCTTGTGAAACAGGCTTGTATCAGCTTTCTGCTTCTCCTCTCATGTTTCATTTATCACCTGCTGTTTAAAAGTAAAGACACAATGTTTGTTTTTGTGTCTGTTTGTTAGCAAAATATCTGATAAACCATGGAGTCCATTTTAAAGAAATCTCCAGAAAGTAACAGTTGCATGTACATATACAACTTTTGGATTTAGAATGGAATCAATTTTATCTAAAAATATAAAAATGTTTTTAACTCAGTCAGTTTAAAAGATACTGAGTTAAAATGTGATGTAGTAGTAGCTGAGTCATCTCCATTACATATTCCTAGTGGCATCAGATCACATTATTTTCACAGTCTGACATAAATGGTTACAACTGCATTATTTCTAGKGCTGAACATTTAATAATCTCACAATAAGTTAAAACCAGATTATCTAACCACAGACTGTGATTTGACTGGTCACGTGACTTGGACTGAGCCGAGAGGAGCAGTGTTGATAACTTAGTGACATTAGCTATGTTTACATGCACAAAATTTTTAGATTGGATAGAAATGTATTGGGATTAAATAATCTGAATGTAAGGTTTAAATGGACACAATCCGATCATGACAAGTGTTTACATACACCGGAGTTTTATTCAGAATAAAAGTCCGGACATGCACAGTGTTGTAAACGTTCAGCTCTACTTCCTGTTACAAACGTAAACAAAGCTCCTCTGTGCCTCAGGACGGACCTGTGTCAGCTTTTAATAACGGTAGAGACGTCGTTCCTCGTCTCCTCGGTGACTAGAGAACTTTTCTCCTCTCGAGCAGAGAGTGGTGCAGTGAGCCCCTCCCCCTTCCTAAAGTGATGCGACTGCCTCATGCAACACACACACACACACACACACACACACACACACAC